AGGTAGGATCACCTTGGGCATTGCCTCCTAGCAATATAATATCATCAAAGTCGTGGCAGGAGAGAAACATAAGAACAACTTCTTGGAAGACCAGGTGATCCAAAGCCGAAGTCTACCCTGTCACCACCTGTACAAAAACAAGCTCAGGGCAGTGGTAGCAAGGCCTACAACACCTACAGTTGTCACACCCTGGTGCAACAATTAGCCACAAAATAATTGCGGTGGACGTCGTAAATATAGTTCCACATTACACATGAAAGTGTTTAGATCTGTAGACTACTAGCTACTTGGAGAGCTTATCTGTTATATACCACTGCATATCTGGTGATTACAATCCTCTGACTGATGTAGTATTGGTCTATCCTAATTGCATAATATAGCACTTTCCCTAGCATGGAATACTTTCCCTAATTCAATTCTCCTCACCATTAAAAATCATAAATAAAATTAAAGTTTATGAATAAAATAGCAATTAAAAATACAGCTTTCCTTCTGAGAGAGGAAGACAAAACAGGAGAAAGAATTGCAGGTAGTTGATGCTGCTTACATTGCTTAATTCACTGCTGGAAGATACACAGACACCACAGGGATGGAAGTAATATAGGAGGCAGGGCAATATAAACTGGATTCCAAGTCTTTGTTTGTTATTTTTTTCCAGGGGTTATAGCATAGATAAAAGATCAATACCGAAAGATTGTGTTGGTAGTTTTGTTTGGTCTTTGGGGTTCAGTTTGGTTTTAGCTAAGCCTAAGTTTTGCAGTTTAGTTCCTATTTTTGTTTCTCACTAAACAGAATCTTTCTTGTGCTGGAGCTGAGTGCCATTTAGTGAGCACATTCACAAATTATTCATCTTTCTTGATTTGTTTTGCTGTGTTTTTTTCCCCTCTGGAGATGTATCTTGCTTTCTCCAAGACTTCCCACCATTCTACCTTTCATTTGCCATTTACAAAGTGGAACGCCAACGTTGGTATGCAAACAAAGAGAATGAAACACGCCCTTATTAAAATATGGAGCAGAAAGAGCCAGGAGTGGGAGTAGATTGCCAAGTAAATATGTTTCTCCTGAATCTATTTGTAATATATTGCCTTGTCAGTATTGCTAGAAGGAGTTAGGTTTACTCTGGGGTCCTGAGGAGCCCTGAATCCTATTTCAGGGCTCAACTCTGCATCGACTGAAGTTAATTTAAGCAAAGCTTCTATTCATTATAGTGGTACAAGGTCAGGACCCTAGGCCCAGAAACAGATGTTGCATTTGTCTCTGGATAGTTTGTGCCCGTGTTGGTCTCAGAGCAGAAATATCCTGGGATTGGTGTATGTACACATCACCCTTCTAATCAGGGTTTAGTGAGCAGTTGAGTGTGTTGCTGCTTTTCCACCATAGATGCAGTGACTCAGTCTTGGGATAACTGTTCAGATACATTTTGAGATGTCCTGGGGTAAACTATTAGGGCACGTCCAGATGAGTGCAGTTGTGCGATATGTGGCACTGCAAAAGTGTATACTGCACAGTCCTGGGCTCTCTGAACTGCAAGGGCATGCTGGCCAAGCGTGCAATGCTCCGTTTTTTTCCCTGCATTTTTTTTGAGCCTTGGATATCCAGGGTTTGAAAAAAACTACAGAAAAGAAACCTGATCTAGCGTACACTCAAGGCAGCACGCACTGCTAAGGGGTGGAGCCGGGCCACTCAGAGCCACACTGAGGCTGCCACCTGGCAGGATCACTGTGGCTGCAGCTCCAGGAGGCCCCTAGGACTCCAGGTAAGGCTGCTGGGACCAGCACAGTGCTGGCCCCAGCCTCCCCTACACCATCCAGGGCAACTTGCCACGTACCAAAGCACACGTGGCATAGGCATTCTCTGGGGAAACAAATGTTCACACACGCCTGGATGCACCCTTAGTGCTTCTCGTCCTGTGAACCTTTTCAGGTTTTTTTATAGGACAATGGGTGAGGACATCTGAATGACTGCACTTTGTTCTGAGATAAAATAGATAAATCCTCAATTAAATCCCAGGACAAATGTGGCACCTGTCTGTAGAGTAAGAGAGTAAGATCTAAGGGCACCTATACATGAGCAGTGAGCCTGCTCTGACATTCTGTAATTACAGCGTGTCAGAACAGACTTGATTAATCACACTTCAGCAGACTCCAGTGTCTCGTATATTAGGATCCCTGCACTGAAAAATGGTGGTGAGGGCACTTTAACTAAAGCTTGTTTGATGAGCGTTAGATAAAGTGCTTTCGCTGCCATTTTTCAGCATGGGGACGCTGATATGAGATGCTCTGGGCACTTTAATTAGAGTGGGCCTCCAAATTAAAGTGCCCCCCTCTCCTCCCACACCAGAGCCCATGTATTAACACCCTAAGAGAGTAAGAACAGGCATACCTAGCACCTCACATTCAGGAAACAACACCAGAAACTAATACCTTAGTATCAAAGAATCCTTTCTGCAATTTTCAGCTGAAATCTGCAAATCACTTTTCACTGAAACTATTTTGTACTCTGAGGCTAGGGACAGACATTACACATAAACAAGTTTAAGTGATCAAAAACTGGTATAACCTTTAACAGAACAGAAATTCAGTGAACATAAACCAGTTTGAAATGGCTGAAACAGGTGTGAGATAAACCTGGTTGAATGTAATATCAGACTTAACTGATTTGGCTCAAACCAGTTTATGCAATGTCTGTCCCAGACCCCTTCCTGGTTTAACTTAAACCAGAGTCCCCCAGCGTTCCAGATGCTTTGCAGCCATAGGCAGGGCTCTCTGCTCCAGAGCAGGGCTGACCACGACCCTCTGCCTGGATTCCATTTCTCCCTTGCTGCTTCCTGCTCAAGCAGGCATTTCCCCCCACCTTCTCCCACAGTACAGACCATAGCCAATATGTGGTGTGCTAGTTAATGCTGAGAGATGTCTGTGTAAGGCAGACAGGACAGTGTCTGCTTAGGGCTTTTTGGCGCTAATCAAGAGGTCAGCTGGTAATGTCCCTCCGTTCCTTCCTTGGAAAAAGTTGTTTAAGAAGAGCTTGAACTAATGAGAGAGGCTTTTGTTGTCTTGATGGGGTGCTAAATTCTCTATTATCAACTCCCTGCTGGCTCCTTGAGGGGGGTGAACCCCTCCCTAATTAGAGCATCTTGCCAGGGCCTGGCCACACGCCTCCTCAGCTCAGCACTATGGAAGGGAAGGGAGGGCTGCTCTAGTGCCCCCCAGCTTCTAGCCTGAGCCACTGCAGGCACATGCCTGCATTTTTCTTAGTCCAGAGGGAATGCCTGTGTGGTTACAAACTGGTACAGCCTAGCCATGTTAGACTAACCTGAATCAATTCAGGCTCAGGCTTTTTGAACATCTGTCCCTAGCCTGTGTCTTTAAAACTGAGGATTGGGAGAAACTGAGTAATTGTAAATTGTTTTCTTGAAGTTATGACCAACTAATTATTAGGCCATTGCCTGGTTATGGAGTAGGCTTACAGACCTGAGCTAGCTTTAATCTAGATACCACAAATCATGGGCAACTGGTGCCCCCCACAGCGACCAGTTAGTGACAGCCAATCTCGCTGACCAGAAAGTGACTGTGGCACTCCTGGAAGTGGCTGCAGTGCTTATCTGATGCTCCCCTCCCCAGCCAGTGCTCTCAAGGGGGCACTAGTGCTCCCACCTGCCCCTCCTGCCCATCACCTAAGCGGGGAGTGTAGCCTGTCAGGGGGTGCACCAGCACTCTCAGGGGGTGTACGTGAACCCCCTATGCATCACCACTGACACAAGTAACAACACTAGTGAAGATGTAACAGCTTGGACCTCACTGCAAGCTGTACAAGCCTGACAGGGCCCCTAGGTGGGTAATTGGATAGCCAATCTGTGCTGTCAGGTATTTACTATCAAATAGTCTTGATATATTTAAAGAGAAGCCAGGTATGTATATTCACAGTGCAAGCACATATTTGTTTGGCTGTAGAGAAGTACCTTTATATAATAAAATAAAAATATAAAGATCTGCCAAACAAAGAAGTTTATGTCACAGTATGAGTTTTCTTTTACTTTAAAAGCATTGTAACACATCTGTGTTGAATGAGTCTGAGTGCTCAACTTAAGGCATGGCTGTGTGGCATAAGAGTGTACTGAGGTTAAAATCCTATATACGTGTATTTCCGTGTATATTTTATGAGACCTCTTTCTTCTGTCATTCAGCACTGATACTGTATTCCCTTTCAACCATTTTCCTCCTTCGCATTTGCTGTCTCTTTCTCTCTGAGGGCCAGACTGTAGCAGAATTACCTGGAACGTGCTCTCATCTCTAAATGATACATTGACAAGTCTTTCGGTAACACTGCAGCAGTCAGCCTGAGCAAGTGTTTTGGGACAGCATGTTCTTCTGCAATGGAAAGAATATTGCAGACAAAGAAAGCTGTCAGCCAATTTAGCAAAAGATTGTTAGATCTTGCCCACCAGTCTGTGAAAGAAGAGGATTTTCTCTGTTGATCTGTTCATTTTTTCCTTTTTTAATTTTTTTAATCCTCTCTCTCCTCCTGCTTGTTAGAAACTTCCTGGAATAAATTTCCTAGTATGGACATTTCCTATTCATCCTTACATCAAAAGTAATTCAAACACCAGGGTTGATCAGCTGAGCATCCTTGGGCCATCGCACAGTATTCATGGAGAGACAGTACAATTTCAAAGCCATGCAGAGGAGGAGGAGAAGAGGAGGAGATGCATGCATACATTATCTTGTTTGATAATGGGTTTGCACACACAATGTGCTTCCTCTTCACCATTCTGAAATGTAACCTCCAAATGCCCTTTGTTGATGCAAGGCAGATGGGGAGGAAGCTCCATTCTTTTAAGTCATCAGCTAGACAGTAATAAAATGGGGAGCTTGTGCTGATGGTTAGTCATCCCTCAGGATCAGGAGATTATGAGCTAGATTTCAGGATGTATGGTCCATAGAGAACAAGTGAGATGGACAGTCTGGGTTTTTGCTCAACACTTTCTCTCCTTTTGCTTTAAGGATGGACTTACTCCACTCCACTGTGCTGCACGAAGTGGGCACGATCAAGTTGTAGAGCTTCTTCTGGAACGAGGTGCTCCACTGCTTGCAAGGACAAAGGTGTGTATCTTATTAGAAGAACAAGCTTACATCATAAAATTCTTTCAAAGTAATTATTAGGCGCATTGAAAGACTGAGGAGGGCTTTTAGAGACATGCCTCTCACCCCCAGGAAATGCCTAGGACTTGACAGATAAACAGTTTGGATAAAGTGTACAAAAAAAGAAACTATTTTTCTATTAGAAATGGTACTGCCATCTTCAAATAAGGAGAATTGGAATTCATTAGTGAACCACCCCACTGTTTTTATGAGGGTAGGTTTCCATACATGATAGACAATGATAGGCAATGTTTTGGTAGTCTTTTCTCATCCCATAGCTTGGGAATTTACTGATGTGGCATCCTAGGATCATGGAAAGGAGACATAGGATAAAGGTGTCACCTAGGCCCACTCATCCAGTTTTTCTGTTTTGTTTGTTTGTTTTGGGCTAGTTAGCTCCAATAAATAAGAGTTGTCCACATTTCAGGGTACATTATTCCATACTCTTTTGGTTATTTTAGAGTATTCCCATTAGTGAATATAGCCACTATGTAATTCTGTTTAATAATAATAAAAAAGATTTCCTCCCATCAAATTCCCTTCCTCAGTCAGGGGAAGTATATATAATACAAATATAATACCTAGTCTTCATTTAGTACTTCCCACCAGAAGAACTGAAAATAATTTACCATGCAAATCATTATCCCCATTTTACAGATGAGCTATAGGG